TCGGCGCTGGCCCCCGGCACTGACGGAAACGCCTGAAAACCCCGAAGCTCGAGTTACACTTTCTCAGCTCCGCGCCGCTTCCTCGGATCGGCGCTGGAGTTCCACTCCCTGGCGCGCGAAGCGCGGCGGGAGCGCCGCCAAGGGAGCCAGGCGCCGATCCGAGGAATCGGCGCGGAGTTCGGAAGGTTCATGTCCATGTGGTTGTTTCGTCTTCGATCTGCACTCCTCGATGAAACGTTCACGGGCAGAAAAAAAAAAAACATTCACGATTAACAAGCACCCCGACGAGCGAAGCCGTCCAGTACCGCACCCGAGGAGAGGATCGAAAAGGGCCAGGCTGCTCACAGAATGACCAAGGCTGTTGGATGCATGCTGCTTACGGGGGTCTGGGTGTTTCGTCACTCCCTGAACGGTTGCCCGCGGCGGAGGCGGCCTGCGGCGGCGACGACGACGACGGCGGCGGGGACGCCAACGACGACGACGACGACGACGACGACGACGACGACGACGACGACGACGACGACGGCGACGACGACGACGACGACGACGACGACGACGACGACGACGACGACGACGACCCCACCGTTCCGACGTCGCCGATGCATCGCTGATGGTGGGGAGGGCGGCTCGTGCGCGCGGCGGCCTGCGGGTCGTCGCCCTCGGGCGCCTGCTGCCGCGGGCCGCCGCCGCCTCGCGCGCGCGGGGGAGGTCCAGGGGCCCAGGGGCACAGAAATTGATAGCCACAAATCCAAGGACTCTCCCTGAATCTTCAAGGCTTTCGTCTTCCCTCAGAACCCTCTTTCCTCTTTCCCTGAATCTTCAAGGCTTCTCCCTCTTTCCCTGAAGGATTCTCCCTCTTTCCCTGAATCTTCAAGGCTTTCGTCTTCCCCGCCGCTTCCCATGTTCTCCTATACCTCCCCGGGATCGACGACGCATCGTGTCTGCGTGCTTTTCCCCTCCTGAGGAGGAGGAGGAGGAGGAAGAGGAGGAGGAGGAGGAGGACGAGGAGGCGGACGAGGAGGAGGAGGACGAGGAGGAGGAGGAGGTGCACATTTTGGTCAGAGCCTGGGATCGCTGGGATCCCCGAGCTGCTGTTGCTGGGGGCGGCCCGGCGGGCGGCGGGTTCGCGGGGCCGGCGGCGGCCGTCCGCAGTGGGGCTCGCGAGAGGCGGGCGGCGGGCCGGCGGCAGAGGCGCGGCCTCTCGCACGATGCCGCCGCCGTCAGGGGGGCAGGCGCTGGTAGGGCGTGGCAGTGCCCGGCTCGGGGGTGACGGCGCCCATCGGTCGGAAGGAGCAGGTGGAAGCATGAAGCAGGAAGGCGTTGAGGGTAACCAGGATGGGCGTCCGCCCGCCCCCCAGGAGAGGACGGCAGAGGTGGGGCCACTCGATCCTTGGAGTAGGGAGGCGCCTACAGTAGATTGGAATCTGGGACTCCAGGAACACCTACTTCAACGACCGATGGGCACAGTCAGCCTGTAGAAGAAGGATGCGCGATAAGGATGCAGGGGCCTTGGGAACCCATTTCGAAGCTCTTCGAGCGGGGCGCGGCCAGCGAAAAGGGGCCAAGGACGCACCGAGGAGGCAAGGACGCAAGGATACTTAATAAGCGTCGGGGGGGCGTCACCCCCGCCAACAGCCCCACATCGACCCCCGCGCGCCGAAAGCGCTTCGACCCCCGTCGCGGGCGACGACGAGACAAGGTTGACCCCCGTCGGGGGCGTACCCCCCACGTTTGGGAAGTTTGCTCATCCTTAATGTGAGGCTTGCATTTAGGGGCGGATCGCCCAGGGGGGATCAACACACGTATCCACCGGCGCCGACGGTGTATGTTTTCGGCGGGGTTCCCCGGCGAATGTGTGTAAGTCCCGCTCCTGGGCTATTCGCCCTGATCGTCGCCTCCGACCATCGGCCCCCATGGACCCCGCCCCCTGCGCGGCTGGCGGCCTCCTCAGCACAACCACCATCATCGCAATGAAACGCCATCGCAGCCACACTCACAGCCGGAATTGTAACCATCCTGATCATCTGAATCAACATATTATGTTCCTCCCCGCCCCTGTTCATCGTACCTCCTGCTGGGTGTTGGGTCGTACTGCGCTGATATGCAGCAACTTGAACACTAGGGTTGTATCGCGTTTGCAAAACATATATATATATATATGAGTAAGGGGGCGGTATGAGTATGAGTAAGGGGGCGGTGGGGACGTCGGTAATTTGCGAGACTCTGGAAAAGCCCGCCGCAGGCGCCCAAAGTTTCAAGTTATACTACGAACCCGCCGCAGGCGACGATTTTGGTTAAACCAATGCGGGTCGGTCGCGGGGTGGGTCGCGGGTGGGTCGCGTCGCGGGTGGGTCACGGGTGGGTCGCTGTTGGGGGTCGCGGGTGGGTCGCGGGTGGGAGGGGCAGATAGAAATCCACACCGAAAAAATCATCCCGATAAGCGAAGCCGTTTGATAAAAGCACACAAGGAACGCATCGAACAGGGCAGGGCTGTTTAGTAAACGCCCAGGGCCGTTTCGCAAACGTCAATTTTCGGGTCCGGGTGGTCCTTCCGCCCTTGAAGTTGGATCGCGGGGTGGGTCGCAGGTGGGTCGCGGGGTGGGTCGCACGCGGGTCGCGGATGGGTCGCGGATGGGTCGCGGGGTTGGTCGCGGGCGGGTCGCGGGGCGGGTCGCGGGTAGGTCGCGGGTGGGTCGCGGGCGGGTCGCGGGCGGGTGGCGGGTTGGGTCGCGGGGCGGGTCGCGGGGTGGGTCGCGGGGTGGGTGGCGGGATGGGCCGCGGGGTGGGACGACAACAACGAACAACGAACATCAACAACAACAACAAGAACACTTACTACTACTACTACTACTACTACTACTACTACTACTACTACTACTACTACTACTACTACTACTACTACTACTACTAAAACTACCACTACTGCTACTACTACCACCACCACCACCGCCACCACAACCACCACCACCACCACCACTACCCCTACTACTACTACTACTACCACTACCGCTACTACTACCACTACTACTACTACTACTACTACTACTACTACTACTACTACTACTACTACTACTACTACTACTACTACTACTACTACTACTACTACTACTACTACTACTACTACTACTACTACTACTACTACTACTACTACTACTACTACTACTACTACTACTACTACTACTACTACTACTACTACTACTACTACTACTACTACTACTACTACTACTACTACTACTACTACTACTACGACGACGACGACTACTACTACTACAACGACTACAATCAAGCAATCATTGTACCATCATGTGCCATGTATCCACGCATCGCATGCACCGCTCTGGAAACCACGCCCCATCACGATGGATTGTCCTGGCATGTGGGGCCCGATATTCCCTCGCCCAGATATTCCGCCCACGAAAACACCGCCACCACCTCTTCCGGGGAACTTCGACATCCACAACTCGGACGGTTCGTCGCCATCGCAATCGCCTTGCAAACACCCCGCACTTCGGATGAGGAGGAAGAGGACGAGGAGGGGAGAGGAAGAGGGAAAAGGGGAGGAGGAGGAGGAGGAAGAGGATGGAGGAGGAGGAGGGGGAGGAAGGAGGAGTAGTTGCAGCAGCAGTACCTCCGAGGGCGAGGTGGGTCTTATTCCTCGTTCGGACTGTTGCGCCATCATCCTGCGGCCTCGGCGCGTGGCCCCGAACGTTCACGCCCCCAGGCGCTGCCGCTCCCATGCTCGCATCCTCCCCCTGCTCCGCCACACCCTCGCAAGGAGTCCCTTGAGTCAATCCTTCGACCCCCGATCCTTGGGGTCCCTGGAAGTCATCTCTCCCCCTTCTTCTCCCCCTCCTCTACATTATTGATGCTTTCCAAAAGTGATAGTTATTTCATCGGAGGTTGGGGGGTGAAATCGAACTGGAACGGAGAGCCTCACCACTGGGAAATCGGTTTCGATTTCGTGTTCGCGCGTGCCGTGCGTGCGGGCGAGGCGAAGCTGCGTGGGCGGGCGAGAAGAAAGTCTCCTCCGGCTGAGCCGCGGCCGGACCAAGTTTGATTCCTGACCGGGGGCCGGTGGCGCGCGGTGCCCGGCCGGTGTCCCGCCTCCGGCTGAGGCGCGACCGGACCAAATGATTCCTGACTGGGGGCCGGTGGCGCGCGGTGTTCCGCCGCTATCCCGCCTCCAAGACGGCCTGACAGCTCCAAGACGACCCACAAGGGTCCCAAGACCGCCAAAGAAGTCCCGATGACAGCACCAGAAGGCACCTTGACGGCGCCAAAAGGGGACCCACGGGGGCAACCCGAACCCACATTTCCAGCCTTCGGCCCCCGGACGCCCCCAGGTTGCCTCAAGAAGCCCCCAACACGCCCCAAGAAGCCCTCAAGGAGCCCGAACGAAGCCCCCAAACGCCCAAGAACCTCCCAGGAATCCGACAAGCCTCGTGGAATGCAGTCCTGGACGCGCAGCAGTTTAATACAGGGGTCGGCGGATGATGTGGCGTAAGCCTATAGAATCACTTCTCTCGCCTACTCAACTCGGGGGTGACGCCCCCAGTGGAAGCAATGCTCTCGCTTCCTCGGCCACCAGGGGGTGACGCAAGCCCTGCGCTCGCAGGCACGGCCCCGGTCGGCCTCCTCGCGCGGGCGCGCGCGCGCCAGCCGAGGCGGGCGCGGAGCCGGCCGAGCGCAGGAGGGCCGAGCAGATACCACAGCACCTCTTCGGCCCCATCCTCCTCCCCGACCCCTCGCAGACTTCGTCCTCCTCCTGGTAGTCCTCCTCCTCCTCCTCCTCCTCCTTTGACCCCGTCCACGTCTCGATAGGACATAGTCATCACCTCACCCACTCCTCCCACTTATCGTCCTCCTTGCTTCCCATGCTATCCTCCTCCTCCTCCTCCTCCTCCTCCTCCTCCTCCTCCTCCTCCTCCTCCTCCTTGCTTCGCCTCCCCCACCTCCTTCAACTCCTCCTGCCGGACGCGCCCTGGGGCAAGCGAGCGCGCTCATGCCTGCAGGCGCATCCGCCGCCACGCGTCCGCGCCGTCGTCCCGCACGAAGAGAAAACGATCGTTGAGAAAGCCTGGGTGGCCTCCGAGGTAGAACTCGAACGAGGTCGGCTCGAGAACGAAAGCCGAGTAGCCGGCGTGCGGGCACGCGGGTGCTGGCTGCGCGTCCACCGATAGCTGCCGCTCTTGGAAGAGGAACAAAACAGCACAGACTCAAAATTTCGGAGCATCGCACGCGCGGATTCCCGGGATTTGCGGAGCGGAGCGCGCCAGGGGCAGCGCCGGGGGGCGCCGCCAGGGGGGGGCACGCGTGAGTAAGAGAAACCCGCGCAGCCGTCAACGTTTTCTCCGTCAGGAAACAACGCCTGGGCGATCTTCGTAAGAACGGTTCAGGGCTGCTAAGCACGATTGAAGTGCCAACACTCGGGGGCGCGCAGACATGGATTAGCGATCCATGGATTTGGCGCGCGGTCGCCAAATCCATGGATCGGGGGAGGTATGCTCCCAAAACTGCGGCCGGTGCCGCCTCGCTCGGCGGCGGAAACCCACGACTTCCAATGGAAACGGGACCCGTCGCTAATCCACGCCCCCTTGATCCATGTGTGCGATCGCCTGAAACACGCTGGGTTAGGTCGTACCAGGTCAGACTATCTGGCACTGCGCATGGGCAGGCCGGCTATCGACCACGGATCTACCAGCGCCGATGCTGAATTTGACCCTCGAGGAGGTGCACCCAGGCTTGCAGGAGCAGGCAATCGCGACACCACCGCCAACAGGGGCCACCAGCGGCAGAAGCCAGGGGAGTCCCCCTGGGGGTGCGGTCCCCCCCTCTCGCTCGTGACATCCCCTGTCCCTGGCTCGAGAAGGCATCGTGGACCTCCGCGCGGGAGGTGGCCCCCCTGGTGGTGAGGGGCGCCGATCCTCCTTCCTCCGAAACTTTCTGCTTGTGCGGATCGTTCCCCCTCGGCGCTCTGCGAACGCGGCGCGCAGCTCCTCGTAGGCGGCCTCGCTCGAGGGCTCGCCCTGCCGCAGCATCGCCAGCCCCAGCCGGGCGCCCAGCGGCTGCGCGCGCCAGCTCGCGAGCGTCTCGTCGGCCGTGCCGCGCCGCGCCGCGCCGCGCATGCGCACCTGCCGCTGCTCCCGGAGGAGCACCGCTGACAGGACGCGTCGTCCACCCCAGGAGGCCCCCAGGAGGCCCCCACTTAAGAGGTCCCGCCCTTCAAGAGGTACCCTCAGCGACAAGAGAACGGCAGCTTCGCGTCGCGTCGACTGGCACCAACCCCGCCGACGACACTCAACGTTGAACGCCGCTGGCGGCCCAAAAATCGGTCGATACTGGGCGATCTTACGTTCCGAAAACGGCCGATCGTTCCCGGTTGAACGATTCCCGCAGTGTCAGACACCACCGCCAAGGTCGGCACGACACGCACCTGCCGCATGCCTGCAAGAGGCCTCCTGGATGGGGTCCGAATAGATGTGGTCGGAGGATTGCGCCGCATCGGCGATGCATCGGCGGTGCACTGGCGATGCGTCGGCGACGTCGGCGATGCATCGGCGACGCCAGCGTGGAAAAGACCGGGCTCCACATCGAGATGCGTCGCGGCTCGATCCATCCGACCCCCAGGAGCAGCTTGATTCACCTGCGCAAAAATCGTAACATCAGCTTTGCTTTGCAAAGGCAGCTTGTCTCGCGAACCATCCGACGCATGGCCCGAGTGTAAGCAAAGAGCCACCTGTAACTGAAGGGGCCCTGGGACACACAAATAAATAGACACAAATACCAGGATTCCCCATACGCTCCCAGATCTTCTGGGCTTCTGTCTTCCCCCCCACTTCCCATATTTTCCCATACGTTCTGGGGAATCGACGATTCATCGTGTCTGTGTGTTTTTTCCCTCCTGCGCAATCCACGAGCAGGCGCAGGAGGGGCCTCGGGCCCACCACCCCGGGCGCACCTGCCGCTGCCCCCAGCGGAGCACCGCCTCAGCCCGCGGGTCGGCGGCGAGCTGGCGCGCCTTCAGCGAGGCCGCCGAGGAGCCGAATACGCTCGGCACGCCCGAAGCTTCGGCACGCCCCCCTGTCAGGGTCGGCGACTCGGCCGCAAGGCCTTCGCAGTACGATCGGCGCGCCCGGGGCCCAGGGCGGCTCGGGGGGTCGCGAGGCTCGGCGGCTTGCGAGGGGGGGCGAAGCGAGGAGGAGGCCTCTTCGGAAGGCGGCGGGACTTCTCAGAAGCCCTCGCGCCTTCTGGGAAGCTTCCTGCGTCTTCGGGGAAAGCGTTGGAAACTTCTCAGCAAGTCTGGGGACTTCGGAGCCTTCTGAGAAGGCCCGCCCCTTCCCATTGCCCCCGGGGCTCGCCGCCGAGGAGGGGTGAGGGGGCGGTAGGAATACAATAGAAGAAGAAAAAACGGCATGACCATCAACGTTCGATGGTGTGCGCGGATTTCTTGGATCTGCGTCAGACCCCCTCCCTGGCGCGCGGGGCGCGCCAAGAGCGGCGCTGGAGGCGCCGCCGGGGGGGCCCCAGCGCGGATCCATGTTGTCCTGGGAATCGACGATGAATGTTAGGTCAGGCGTGTCCTCCTACAGGCGGGTTTTGGACGAAAAATAAAAGCAAGACTGCAAAACATGCTCAAAAATGCCCACGATACCCAAACATTGCCACCTGATTATTTGTGCTTTGACTATTGCTGAATATCCCTCCTGTAGAGGGACACGCCCGACTTACGATTCATGGTGTCCGTGTCGCTTTTTGCTCCCCTCCGAGGAACTTTGGCGGCTCTCGGCAGCTTCTTCCGGCCTCGGGCTGCTCTGCAGAAGCTGCGCCTCGCCGAGAGCGCGTTCTGGGGGTGCCTGGAGCGTGTCGAACGGCCGCCAGAGATTTCGTTGACCCGAAGGGGGGTCCAGCTGAAAGGGGGCTGTGCAATAGATTTTGGATCATTGTATTGCAAATGTATTGCGCTGGAGAACTGTATTGCGTTGAATTGCAACTAATGCGTAGCTCGCGAAAAATCAGCAATTCATTCGCGCCCAGGAATTTACTGCACGCCCCACATTTATTGCAACCCACAAAACGATTGCACCAGATCTATTGCACCACCCTCGTGTAGCTGGACCCCTTTTAGGGTCAACCAGAGAGTCGAGTTGTGACCCAAAAACCACGGACACGAATGCTTGCAGTCATCGTGCTACCGTCGGCCCCAGGACAGAAGAACATCCTTCACGAACATGAGACCCTGAGCTGGCCAAAACACCCCAAACCATACATGCCTCGGAACAAATTAGCGAACAGTCATGCCACACTGATCTGTCAACGGCTCCCCCTCCCCCCAACGTTCAAAGTTGGCGGTGGGTCTGATGAGCTGCACTTCGACCGCAATCTCCACCGCGCGTGCCAACAGTGAGGTTGGGGGGGAAGGGGGAGTGTTCAGTAATTGTTCCCCTCTACCGTAGGACCACTCGAGGGTGCCTTACCCTAGGTTGCACAAACACATCCAACAAACACGAAGAACCTTCGGCTACGTACCCTCCCCGGACCGACCTCGACCTTACACCTCGGCCCGACTGTACCACGGGACCATGTGGAGCGCAGAGCAAGGCACGAAGGGGCTCTTCTGGCTGCAGCGAGCCAGCCTCGGCCACGAAAGCCGCTCCCCGACCCAGGCCTCAGGAGCGGCCTTGAAACAGGAGCCCCTCCGAGGCATTGGTTCGGCACTTCGAGCGTGCCGAAAGGATGGGCAAGGTTAGAGACCTCCTGGATGGGGTCCGCGTAGATGGGGTAGGAGGATCGCGCCGCGTCGGTGATGCATCGGCGATACAACGCCGATGCATCGGTGATGCACCGGCGACGACGTCGGCGATGCATCGATGCCGTCGGCGTGCAGAAAGTCAAGCTCCACATCGATCCGCATCGACGATGCATCGGCGATGCGGCGCGATCCTCCTACCCCATCTACTCCGACCCTATCCAGGAGGCCTAGAAAGATGCCCAACAGCACGAGTTGTCAAGAATCGACGGCTGCCGCCGTTGGTGAGCGTTCTCTTATTCGGCGTCTCGACATTGGGCGACAGGGGGGGGAGGGGGGGGGGTCCTGCGCCAGATCTCTGCTTAGTGCGACTGTTTGCAGCAGTGCGTCATATGGGGGAAGACTCCACCTGCTCCAAGCAGTCGCCCAAAACGGCACGAGGGGAAGGGCGAGGGCCCGCGCCGATCGGCCGATGACTTGCGACGGCGCCTGTTTCGTCTCGAGTGGGCGTCGCCCGCGGCGACGCCGACAGCGGGTCCTGCCGAGAGCGGGCAGGAGTCGCTGCCGGCCTGCGACCCTGTTCTGTCCGTTGCCCGCCTCGGCAGTGCCGAGATGAGGCCGCCCGAGGCCGAGATGTCCTGCAGCAGGACGCTGCGCGCGGTCGCACCCCCCGCCGCCGACGACGTTGCCAGCGTCATGGCAGGAGGGCGCCAGCTACACATCTGCGCCGATCCTGGCCCCAGGATCGGCTTGGCCCGAGGATCGGTGTTGGCTCCCTCCGGGCCGGGGCAGGAAACCATGTGCACCGATCCTGGCCCCAGGGTCGGCCTGGCCCGAGGATCGGTGTGTGCGACCTCCCGGCTTGGGCAGGAGAGCGTGTCCAAAAATCGGACGATGCTGGGTCCCAACCATCCTGCGGTGTTGGTCCCCATTTTGAAGAGACAGCGCCCCGCGTCCATCCTCCTCCTTCCTCCTCCTCCCGCTCCCTCCTCCCTCCTCCCATCCCTGCTTCTGCCCTCCGCCTGCCTCTGTTTCGGCGCACACACACACACCTCGCACGCTTCGTGGCCCTATTGGCAACTCCACCGAAGGCCCCAGCGGCGAGGTCCGCATGGCGCACCCGCGCCTCATTCGGCACACCCCTCACACGCCTCGTGGCCCAGTAGGGAGATCCACCGGAGGTCCCAGCGGCACGGTCCGCATGGCGTACGCGCACCTGACTCGGCACACACCCCACACGCTTCGTGGCCCGAAAGATGGTTGCACGAAAGGCCCCAGCGGCAAGGTCCGCATAGCGTGCCTGCGCCCGATTTGGCACACCCCTCACACGCTTCGTGGCCACCTATGAAGAATCACCGAAGGCCTCAACGGCAGGGTCAGCATGGCGTACCGGCACCCATCCCAGCGCAGCCCTCACATGCTTCGTGGCCCCAAAGGGAGCTCCAAGGAAGACCTCAGGGGCAGGGTCCGCATGGCGTACCAGCACCCGATTCGGCACACCCCTCACACGCTTCGTGGCCCCTTAGGGAGCTCCGGCGAAGGCCCCAGCGACATGGTCCACATGGCGCACCCGCGCCCGATTCGGGACGCTTCGTGGCCCCATGCGGGGCTCCACCGAAGGCCCCAGCGGCAGGGTCCGCATGGCGCACTCGCACATGATTCGGCACACCCATCACACGCTTCGTGGCCCAGTAGGAAGCTCCACCGAAGGCCACAGCGGCAAGGTCCGCAGGGCGCACCCGCGCCCATCCCAGCGCAGCCCTCACACGCTTCGTGGCCCCAAAGGGAGCTCCACCGAAGGCCCCAGCGGCGAGGTCCGCATGGCGCACCCGCGCCCCATTCGGCACACCCCACACACGCTTCGTGGCTCCAAAGGGAGCTCCACCGAAGGCCCCAGCGGCAGGGTCCGCATGGCGCACCCGCGCCCATCCCAGCGCAGCCCTCACAGTCTTCGTGGCCCCAAAGGGAGCTCCAAGGAAGACCTCAGCGGCAGGGTCCGCATGGCGCACCTGCACCCGATTCGGCATGCTCCTTACACGCTTCGTGGCCACATAGGGTGCTCCACCGAAGGCCCCAGCGGCAGGGTCCGCATGGCCCAACCGCACCCGATTCGGCAAACCCCATCGCTTCGTGGCGCCAAGCGGGCAGGATCGCAACGCACAACGGAAACAAGGGCGGGCGAAAGAGCTTTGAAGGAAATGGGCCCGACAACGCCTGCGTTCGGGGCTCTGCCCAAACAAACCATCCCTCCGCGAGCCCATGCCCGTTGTTGTTTCTCGATTAACGCGTCTTGTGGTGGCCTCCCTCCCCTATTTCAGCTGCCCCGCGATGTTTGCAGCTGATTATGCTTGGGTCTTTCGCCAGGCAAATTTGTTCACGTCGCGCCCGCATAAGTCCCAAGCCCTTCCCCGGGTCCAGTGTTTGGTTTTGGGTCCGATGTTGCTGGTCCGGGGGTCCGAAAACGGCCACCAGAAGCCAACATCGAGGAACAACTAACAACGAATTGGGGGGGAAACCGAATTAGCCTGGCAAAGGACCCAACCATATGCAGTCGTGAATATCGTCATCGAAAACTCCGCTGGGGACGCGAAACATATGAGGGGTTGTTTGGTGGAGCGCACTATGGGGCCACGAAACGTTGAAGGGGTGCGCCGAACTGGGGGATGCAAATGCATGCGGAACCTGCCACTGGGGCCTCCGGAGCCCCCGATGGGACCACGAAGCGTGTGTGTGAGGGGTGCGCCGAAATGGAGTGGAACTGCATGCGGACCCTGCACTGAGGCCTTCGGTGGAACACGCTGTGGGGGCACGGAACGTGTGAGGGGTGCGCCTGATTTGGCGTGGAACTGCATGCGGGCCCTGCCACTGTGGCATTCGGTGGAGCACCCTATGAGGTCACGAAATGTGTGGATGCGCCGAAATAGGTGTGGAACTGCATGCGGACTATGCCACTGGGGCCTTCGGTGGAGCACCCTATGGGGCAACGAAGTGTGTGAGGGGTGCGCCGAAATTTCAATGGAACTGCACGCTGATCCTGGCATTGGGGTCTTCGGTGGAGCACATGATGGGTCCACGAAGCGTGTGAGGGGCGCGCCGACATGCAAATGGAACTGCATGCGGACCCTGCCACTGGGGCCTTCGGTGGGGCATCCTGCGGGGCCACGGCACATGTAAAAGATGCGCCAGACTCTGCCACTGGGGCCTTCGATGGTGAACCCAATGGGGCCGGGAAACGTGTCAGGGGTGCGCCAAAAAGGAGCTGAAACTGCACGGCCACGAAACGTGTGAGGGATGCGCCGACATGGCATGCGGTTCCTGCCACTGGGGACTCTGGTGGAGCACCTTCTGGGGCCGCGGAACGTGTGAAGGGTGCGCCGACATGGAGCTATGGAGCTGGAAGTGCATGCGCAAATACGACGACGATGAACACGTGTGGAGGGCAAAAGCACGGGATGGTTTTCTCTCAGCGATCCATCAGGCCCTGAAGCGGATCACATCAGCCAATCAAAAGCGGCTGCCGACCATGCACGACGGCACTGAGCCCCGACGTGCAGGGCCACCTAGCAGCACCTGTGGGCCACACGGTGCACGGCCAAACGCCCGAAGAGAAGGATGAGGACGGAGCGGCCTCCCCCGTGCCCTGACGCGCACACTAAAACAAACAAGGCGGCCCCCCTGGGCAGCGGTCACCGCAGAGGAGAAATCACCCCACGGCCGTGCAACAGGGGGCCGAGGACAGCACGAGGCGGTGAAAAGGACGGCCAGCACCGCCTGCGTGACGGAACTCCAAAGCCCGAGTTCCCGGGCTGGCAGCGTCACCAGCGCCGCCTCGCAGGACGACACAAAACCCCAGATCGACCCCGCCGCGTGAGCCCCGCAACCGCGGACAACAAGAGCGGCCCTCCTAAGGAGCTGTCGCCGCAAAGGGAGCATCCTCCAGCCCCCACGACCGTGCACAGGAGGCAGTGGTCATACACGTGGCAGTGACAAGGGCGGCCAGCGACGCCTGCCTGACGGAACTCAAGGCCCGAGTTCCAAGGCTAACTGCGCAACCAACAACCCCAGCCAAAACGACACTAAACCCCTGATCGACCCCACCACGTGAGCCCAGCAACCGCGGATCTAGGACCTGGGGCTCAGGACGAAACATCATCTCACGGAAACAGCGGCCGCCTTTTCCGCCGCCGCGGCCTGACGTGCCGGGGCCCGCGCCTGCAACGCCAGCATCCCTGGAATCGATATCAAGCCAGAGGACGGAGCAGGCAGACTCACATCACGGGGCGGCGGTTGTTGCGCAGCGCAAGTGAAGAAAGCAACTCCTCGCCGCGAATTCTCGCTTACCGCAGCCTTCTCGCAGTAGTGCGGGTACAAAATTGAGCAAGTTCTGCGTAGCGTGGTCGGAGCAACAGACAGCAACCGCTGAGAGCACTCTTTAGCTAGCAAAAACACGGATGGACGAGTGCGCCCCGCACGCGGTGCAGAAGAAAAGTGGCATCAATTGTTTGCCTTTGTCGGCGATGCAACGAGCAGGGGTGTGTCCCAAAGAGCGGTCCAGGACGCCTTTCCAAGTCTAACTGGGGCTTTCGCAGCCTAACGTGGGGCGCGCAAGGGAGTCCGAGGAAAGCTGGAGGCAATGAGGACAGCGGGCGCGCTCTTGACCCTGCTCTGTGAACTCTTGCCAGGCGTGCCAACCTCCTGGTTTCAAAAACTTGGCCCTCGGACCCACCTTCTGGCGCTCGAATCTTTCGAGGGGAAAAGCCGCCAGCACTGCGCCAGCAACTCTAGCCACAAATTCCAACATCGTACACTTCATGTTCACCTGCTCACGCTCATGCATACTGGCTCGGGGGTGGAGGAGGGGAGCCTGTTCGGCCCAAACGTCTGCATTCCAGTTACCTGCTCCAATACGCCTGGCTGGTCCAAGAAGCGCATCAATGATATCTCGGCTCCGATGGGCAGGAGTGTGGTGCACATCGGGTATGGGTTCGACTTCGTGCAACAGTGCGCCATGTGGCAGTCCAGCGTAGCGGTGCTTGCGAGAGACGTGAAAAGCCTTGGGCGCGGAGCACAGCCGAACGACGAGGCACGGGATGGGAGGATGGCGGAGGGAGAGGAGGAGGAGGAGGAGGAGGAGGAGGAGGAGATTTCCCTAGATTTCCCCCCAGGACGACGTCCCCTCCCTTCCTGCCTGCGGTCCAGCAGGGGCGGCGGCGGCCGCCGCGGGCCTCTTCACGGTCTCTCAGGCCTCGCCGCAGACCTCCATGGAGCCGCAGGTCTCCCTGTCCAGGACGATGATGTGCTTCATCTCGGCCCTGCTGTCCATGCGCGAGGGCTCGGTGCCGTCGTGCGTGTCGTGATCGCTCTTCTCAATATGCTGATACGTCAGTCAGTGCTGCCGTCGTGCAGTCAGTGCTGAGCTGCGTCAGTCGGTGCTGGTAGCGTCAGCCTGTGCTGCGTAGTGTCAGTCAGTGCTCGGTGCCGTCGCGGTCCCTGCACTTCTTGATGTTGCTGGGGTCGTGGTTGTGTTTGTCGGCTGTTCGTTGGCGTGCTTTCTTCTTGCCTTCACCACATAATCGGCCCGTGACTTAGGTGGAGGTGGTGCACACTCCTGCCCGAGTTTTTTCCGATATGTAGTGCTTCGCCACGCTGCCGCATGTGTAACACTAGTACCCTTGGTCTCGCTTGTGCCATTCTATCTGGTGGGAGTGGTGTGCTTGGCGTCCTTTGAGAGTTAAATGTGGTTTCTTTGCTGTCGCCGTGGTGCTGCATGGGGAGAGAAGCCACCATCGTGATGGATTCGTCACCTCCTCCCCGTTGGTCGATGGCGTGCTTTATCCTCATCCAGATGTCGCCGTTGCCGAAGTGGTATTTTTTGGTTCTGTGCCGTTTGCGCCTCCAGTTCCTCATCAGTACTTCTGAGTCCGTCCAATAGATGGTGGGACCCTGCGAGTTCTGCAACACGCTGAGTAGTGCCCACATCTCCGCTCGGTTGTTCGTCTGTCTTGGTCCTGGTAGTGGACCCCGCATAGTTGCTCGTACAGTCGTGTGGTTCATGCAAGCCCATCCCCATCCGCACCTACGGTACCGTCGGTCTGCTGATATGGCTCCTCCGCTGCCGTCACCGCAGAAGTGTAGTGGGGTGTCGTCTGCGATCAGTTGGCCGTGCTGGATGTCGCCGTAGCAGGTGTGCGAGGGTTCCGTAGTGCATGGTAGTGGACAGGTCATGGGTCGTGGAGTAATGCTTCTGAGCCAGAAGGCTGCGTTCGTCTCGATGCCCTCCTTTGCTCGCTCTTTGAGGTGCCCTGTTCGTTCGTATATAATGTGCTGTCGTCTCTGTGGGCAGTCTCCCCAGATGCGGTGGTAGTCGTCGTCAGGCGCTCCACACTCGCATAGGTTGGGCGTGCCGTAGGCGTCTGCGATGCGCTGCCGTGGCCAAGTCCCAGCGCATGCAGCAGCCAAGAGTGTTCCGTGTCGTTGGTGCTTGCCCCGTCGGTCGAGGTGCTGGAGGCGGCTGATGAGGTCCTGCACGTCGGCGCCGTTCTCGAGGCCGCTACCGTTGTGGTGCTTGCTGGCCTGTCTCCATTGCTGAAGCTCGACCTGGCTGGTCAGCGCGTCAATGACGTCGGTTGGGTCTCCGTGCGCGTCCTCCTCCCTGAGCAGCCACCCGTCGCCCTGGGGGTCAATCCAGTAGTCGGCGCGCTAAGGGTCCCAGCCCAGGTCTTTCAACGTGGTGATGAGTGCGGCAATAATGCCGCGCCTGCGTTGCCATCGTAGTCCATGTGGTTGTTGCTGTAGTCTGGACTTGATCTTCGGCCACGCTCGTCGAATACGTTGTCGTACCTCGTGGGATGCCGTCCACATATCAAACCATGCTGTAACTTGTGCTTTAATACTAGATACCTCAGCAGGAGGAGGAGGAGGAGGAGGAGGAGGAGGAGGAGGAGGAGAGGCGCGGCAACGCGGGGCGCTGTCTCTTCAAAACGAAAACCCAACACCACAGGATGCTCGGGAGCCAGTCTGAGATCTGAGCCTAAGATCTTGGGCCCCGGGAAAATCGGCGAAGAGGAAGGATGAAGGCAAATACGCTCAAAATCTGTCTCCAGAGCCCTCCCAGGAGAGCCCATAATCGAATCGATAAGTTTGATCGGCAATCGAAATCCCGGCGCCTCCCGGCGCCGGAGGCGGCTGTGTATCGAGGAAGGGGGCCCCTCGGTGAGGCCGAAACCAGCTGCGTGCAGCAGATTTCGTAACCCCCCTTTTGACGAACCAACAACACACACCCATACCCATAGGGGGGTCGGAGAGGGCTATGGGTGCGTGTTGTCGGATGGGGGTCCCCGTTCGAACGGGAGCGTTCCCCAGGGTCCGACAATCCGCGCCCACACCCATAGCCAGTCCTCCTCCCAACGACCCCCCTATGGGTATGGGTGTGTGTTGTTCGTTCGTCACATTTCCCAATCCTGATGGGCATGTTTTCCACCACCACCACCACCACCACCACCACCATGAGTTAGAGGGGGGAAGGAGGTGGAGAACGAGGAGGAGGAGGAGGAGGAGGAGGAGGAGGAGGAGGAGGAGGAGGAGGAGGAGGAGGAGGAGGACCCCCTCCCCCTATAACTTATGGTGGTGGTGGTGGAAAACAAGCCCATCAAATCCCCCCCTTTCGTTCTGCCCCCCCCCTCCCCTGCGGGCCAAGAGCCGAGCGGCGGGGCCACCTCGGCCCGCCGGCCGGCTCCCGGGCCCAGGATCGGTGCACCGGGGCCTCCCCGGAATGGACAGCCCACCAGACCACCCCAGCCCAACCCGAAGAACCCGACGATCGGGTTGGGGGGGGGGAGGGGGACGGGTTCCAGCTGGGTGTTTTCTCCGTGCTCTCCGACCCCCCCCCCCAACTGGAAACGGAATGCCAGTTCAGGCCTTCGGGTTGGGTTGGTTGGTTTGGTGGGTGGTGACAGATGGGGTCCGAGTACATAGTGACATCGGATGGCCCCGCATCGCCAGTGCATCGGCGATGCGCTGGCTACGTCGGCGATGCATCGGCGACGTCGGCGTTGAGAAAATCGGGCTCCACATCGAGCCGCGTCGCCGATGCATCGACGATTCGGCCCGATCATCCGACCCCAGCTGCTCGGACCACCTTTTGGAGGCCTGGAGTAGACGAGCGCGTCCCGCTACTCGCAAAGTCACCACTCGCACATGGCCCGGATCCGCCGCCGAGGATCTACGATGTCTCACGTCGAGGCGGCCACGTGATCTTCGGACGTGTGCGAGCAGGTGCTCTGCGAGCAGTGCAGCGCGCTCCGTGGTAGAAGCCGGCGCCCTCCGGCCTGGTGCGCGCCTCGAGCCAGCCGTCCGCCGCCTCCGCCGCGCCGAGCCACTCCCGGAGCAGGGCGAGCGGGCACGGCGGCAGGGCCCGCGCGTCGAGCGGCTCGGAGCGGGCGACACGCCGAGAGCCTCTCCCCTGGGGCAGGAGCCACATCCAAGGCGTCTTGGACTTTCTTGGAAGGGGCGCCGCAAGGCCCGAGACTTCCCCAGCAATGCAGGGCAATGGCGAACAGAAAACATTTCGATATAGGTTTTAGATAGGTTCAAAAGTAGGTTCGGGAGATAGGTTCGCAAGCATAGTAGGTCCCAGGAAGAAGGTGCAACGCGCGGGGAAAACGTGTCATCGGGCAGATAGCCTCCCGTTACTGGGTTTGCCAAAGCGCGTCGGCGCAAATGCCGCGGGCAGCTAAGTTGGCGAAGCGAATTCGCCAAACTAGCCCTGGCGAGTGCACCCGGGGACGTTCCCTGGCCGCGGTAACCTCGCCAAGAAGGTTTGCAATGAAAAACGGCGTCAGGGCTGCATTTCAGGCAGGGGCCGCGACACGTTTCGCGCGATGCACCCTCGGGCACTAAACATAGAAAATTAACGAGAGCGGCTGCGGAGAAGACCTCCGAAAACACGACCCGCCAGAAAAGCAGTCACGACGATGGGCGACCCAAAAATCAATTGGGGCAGCCCCGGCAACTGGCACGGCGAACAACGCAACTCAAGGAATCCCGGACAAGCCGGGCCGCCACCAACAATCACCCCGTACCAATACCGTGCCCCGGCGGGGTTCGGACACGCCATGGCTCCTCCTCATTATCACGGCCGCCCCGCCCAAGGTCATTCTGCCCTCCCCAAAGCCACTCGTTATCAATCACATCATGCTTCCCATCATCGCCCCCCTTGCCTCACCATCCTCCCCCTCGTCAGCCGCAGCATCCACGTTCTCATCCTCCTGCCCCCGATCCTCCCCGCCCTCCCCGCCCCCCCCTCCTCCTCCTCCTCCTCCTCCTCCTCCCCCCTCCTCCTCCTCCCCCTCATATTCCCCATCTTGTTCCTACCTTTTCCCCCTCATCCCCCCTTCATCCGCCCCTCATCCTCCGCCCGATCCTCCGGGTCCTCTTGGTCCTCCTCCTCCTACTCCTCTCTCCTGTTCCTCCTTCCTCCTGGCCCTCCGTTTCCTCGACCTGGCTCTCCTCCTCCTCCTCCTCTCTTCTTCCTCCTCCACATCCTCCTCCCGGCTCTCCTCATCCACCTCCTCCTCCTCCTCCTCTCCCATTCCTCTTCCTCCTCCTCCTCCTCCCCCACATTCTCCTCCACCTCCTCCTCCTCCTACCTTCAATCCCTGACCTTCCATGCTTCCGAAAACAGTTTGAAGTAGGTTTGAAATAGGTTTGAAGTAGGTTTGAAGTAGGTTCGAAGTAGGTTTGAAGTAGGTTTGAAGTAGGTTTGAAGTAGGTTTGAAGTAGGTTTGAAGTAGGTTTGAAGTAGGTTTGAAACCTACTTTGAGGCCTCCGAAACCTACTTTGAGGCTCCTAAAACCTATTTTGAAGCCTCCGAAACCTACTTTGCGCTACCGAAAACCTACTTTTGGAATCCGGAAACCTTCTTTGGAACCTACTTTGCAAAAACAAATTCTGCAAACCTACTTTCCGACCTACTTTGGGGGCGCGGTTCCTTGAAACATCAGCACACGCTTGCCCGAGCCTTTCCCAGAAGTCGCCCCCGGGGGCGGCGCGCCAAAAAAGGAATCTGCGAAGTACCCCCAGAAGGTGAGCAAACCCAAAACACTTGTAGGTTGCCCCCGACAGGCGGGAGCCCCCCAAAGGGGGCGGTCTCCCCCCCCCCCCGAGGGTCGAGGATCGAGCGCGATTTCGCTGTCGGGCGACAAGCGAACGTACCGCGACAGGACAGGGCCTTTTGGCAGCCCCCCCGCTGGCGGGCAGGGGGCCGCCGCCTGGCGCCCTAGGTTCTTCAGAAACCAAACCTGATGCGGCCGCCCCCCGCCCCCCGGGGCCCCTCCGGGCCCGGCCCGACGGAGGCGCCACTCCCCTTCCGTTTCTCTTTCCTCCTCCCACCTCTCTCCACCTCCTCTCCTCTTCCACGCGCCCTCATTATTCCAGCCTCCCTCCACCTCCTCCCCCCGGAAACGCCACCTCCCCCCTACCCGCCTTCTGGAGCCCCCCACCCTCCCGTTTCTGACCTTCTTAACCTTCCTGGTCCTCCCTCTCGCCCCCCCCCCTCCCCCTTGCTCGGGCCCGCGGCCCTCGCCCCGCCCTCCATGCCCCACTTCCCGCTGTGGTCAGACCAAGGGGGAAACGCAATGCCCCCAGATCTCAGGACGGAGGTGGTTTAGAGCGCTTCCTGTTCCAACAACCCCCAGTCTTCCCTTCGGGGATGGATGCGCCCCTCCCCCCCCCTCCTTCCGGGGCCTGCAATGGGGGGCGGCGGATCGGTGGAGCGCCCGGGACGGTCAAAGATAGAGCCGGCATGACCTCGCAGAATGCAACGCGGTCTCACAGATGGTTCAAGATAGCCCAAGATGGATCAACATTGTTTCCCGCATGCTCCAAGAAACCCAAATACCGCTCCGAGACCGCCCCAAGCGGCCGCGGAGCCACCCAATAACACCCCCGAGAAGCCGAAATCTTTCCAAATCGTACGAGACACGAATGAATTGGGCCTTTTGGTCCATGCGCTTCCGAAGACTTTGGAAGCCTGAAGATAAGCCCCGAAGGAGTCCAGAAGAACCCAAGACAGCGCACTTCACGAATTACTCGGCTGGCTTGCTAGCAGAAGCCGCGCCTTGCCGGCGGCATTCCAGCATTTCCCCGAGAAGCTTGTTTGGAAAATATCATTACTGACCCGATCCCGACAAGTTACTTTTGATATTGTGTTCCCGACAACCTTTCCTGGAAAGCTACTTTTGCACATGAATGTCGCATTCCTTTCCCCTGAAAGTTTCTCGCGGCAATCGGTTTCGCCATCCTTTCCCTTCGAGTTACCTGCGCCGACCACTGTTGCCAGGCGCGCTGCAGACCTACTTCGCCGACCTACTTCAGGAGCTACTCTAAACCTACTTCATTTGTTTTGCGCCTCAAGCAAGCCCTGCATTCAAAGGGAAGTCTCGGCGCAAGGCCGAGGCGCACTGGATACAGATAAAGTCTAGCCCTCTGGGAGCCAGATCTTGATCCATGTCCAGCGCGCCTCATGTTTTAAGGGAAGAGAACCCGAAACTCCGAGACGCACTGGATTAGGATGTAGACATTGCTCGCAGCCCTCCTCCTATCCCTGCTTCTGCCCTCCGCATGTCAACCATACCGGCACACCTCTCTCTCACGCTTCGTGATCCCACAAGGAGCTCCACCGAGAGCTCTTGAGCCTGCCTTCGCATAGCGGCATCGCACCCATTCCGGCACAGCCTCGACCGCTTCGTGACCACACAGGAAGCTCCAGCGAGAGCTCCAGTGGCTGCGTTCGCATAGCGGCGCCGCACCCATTTCTGCACAGCCCTTCAGACGCTTCGTGACCCCACAGGGAGCTCCAGCGAGGGCCCCAATGGCTGCGTTCGCGTGGCGGCACCACGCCCATTTGGCATACCCTCCACGATGATCGCGGCCCCTCAGGGAGCCCTACCGCAGGCCCCCGCGGCTACGTCCGCACGACGGCGCCGCATACAGTCCTGCACACCCCTCACGAGACTCGGGGCCCCACAGGGAGCTCCACCGAAGGCCCCAGTCGCAAAGTTCCCATGGCGGCAACGCGCCCATTTCGGCACGCCCCTCACGAGGATCGTGCCCCCATGGGGAATTCCACCGAAAGCCCAAGTGGCTGCGTTCGAATGGCGGGACCGCGCCCACTTTGGAACACTCCTCACACGGAGTGCGGCCCTGTCGGAAGCTCCAAGCGAACGCCCCAGCGACCGCGTTCGCATGGCGGCGCCCCACTCGTTTCTGCACAGCCCTCGCGAGGATCGTGGCCCCCATAGGAAGCTCCACCGAACGCCCAAAGTGCTGCGTCCGCTCGAGGGCGCCCGTCCTATTTCACAGCACGCCTCTCACGAAGATTGTGGACCCATGGGCCCCTGGGGAGCTCCACCGAATCCGGCACCCGGAACGCTGTGCTCACATTTGCGGACTGTTGTTTCCTTCGCCAGTCCTCGATCGGGGACCCTCAAACATGGGTCCAGGGCGAAAAACTGGCCCCGGGGAAGGGGTCAGTTCCTCTGCATTGGGCCGCGGATGGGAGGAACTCGTCGTCGGATGTCTAAGCTTGGTTCGCGGTCGGCCGACCGCTGCGTGCGCTGCGACAGCAGCGGCGCTGCACGCGTGAGTCTGGACCTCCCTGTTCCCGAATAGATCGTAGAGAGCTGACAGGGTTTCAGACTAAGAAGCCAGAGCCGCAGTGTAGCCCCGGAGCTCGTTCCGGCTTCCGGCAGGACACCTCGGCGCAGGCGGCTTGAGCTTGCGGCATGTGGCGTGTTCTGGCAGGCCTTTTCTCAGCGTTACCGAATACGTCTGCCCGGCAGCTCGCCAGAAACTCCTTCGGAAACTCCAGCCAGAGGCTTCCAGAGCTTCTTCGAGAGGCCTCTGCACGCCCCACTGGCGCCCCTCTGCCCTGGCCTTGGACTCCACAGGCGCCCCGCGGCAGCAGTGCACCTCAGAGATCGCTGGGGCGAAGCGGAGGTCCACGCGGCGTTGGGGCCAGCCCCCTGGGCCTCTGTCGGCCGTGCGGAGCGGCTCTGCCGGGAAGTCCCGACCCCTGCCCCGGGGCTGGTTCTCCGCCCCACGGTTGGCTCTGCAGGGCCCCCGGGCCCGAGCACGGGCCCCGGCCGAGGTCGAGGCTACTCCGTCGAAGGGCCCACTCTGACGCACCCGAGAGGCCCCAAGAGGCTCCGGGAGCCTCCACGCGTGTCCACACGAGGCCTCGCGAATAGGCCTCTTGTCCACGACCCATCGCGTTAGGTCGGCCGGCGGAACGAGTGAAACGATTGATGCGAAGAAGCGGAGGGCCATGAGAACCTGGAAGATGCAATGGCCCTGGCCATGATAATCCCCCCCAACTCTAGAGCGGGGATTTATCAAGGTGATGTGATTGACCCTCCGACAAAACTTGCCCATCTGCCCCCTCCCTCCCGCTCCTGCTCCTGCTCGTGCTCCTGCTCCTGCTCCTGCTCCTGCTCCTGCTCCTGCTCCTGCTCCTGCTCCTGCTCCTCCTCCTGCTCCTCCTCCTCCTCCTCCTCCTCCTCCTCCTCCTCCTCCTCCTCCTCCTCCTCCTCCATGGGCCTAGAGGCACCCGAGTGGGTCCCCACCCCGTTACCAAGGGAGACCCCCAGGCGTTGGGGTTACGGTCCTTGGTCTCCAGCCAAGAAAAAAACGCCACCTGCCGGACACAGCCTGTTGGAGGACTGGCCCCGTGGCATTCTGCCTCTGAGTCTAGCTTTCGAAGTATTGCTTAAGTCACTCAAGGGAAAATTCAAGCAGAGGCGGCCTGGCAGGAGTGGGAGGGCGAGGGAAAGGGGAGCGGGGGGGGCGGAGAGCGGGGTCGGTCGGGGCAATCGCGCAGGCGGGCGTGGTGGTCGACGTGGGGGTCGCTCCTCCTCCCCCTCGTTTCCTCAAAGCCACCCCTCCACTTGTTCTAACAGCACGTGCCCAAGCCCCCAATGGATCCCAGGTGCGAGCGGGGGGGGGTCGGCGATTCTTTCCCCATCCAGAGTAGTCCCATGCCCCTGGCTGCTCCCGAACTAGGAGGCCTCCTCGCTGGCTGCCGAGCTAGAGGCCTCCCTAACTGGAGGCCTATTAGATGAGGCCGCATCGCCGAATCATCGGCGATGTGTCGCCGATGCATCGGCGATGCCACGGCGATGTCGGCGATGCATCGGCGACAACGGCGTGAAGAACATCGGAATTCACATCTAGCCGCATCGCCGATGCATCGGGGATGCGGCACGATCCCCCGACCGCATCCACTGCTACTCGGACCCCGTTTGATTTGGGAGGCCTAGAAACCCTCCCCCCCTGGCCTGGGGAAACCAAGAGGTACCGATACCGCTACTCACCAGTCCTCTCCCAGGGTGCGTTCTGACCAGAATCTCGCGGCGAATCCAGTGGTGGCGACGAGGGCCTCGCAGGAGGCTCAAAAAAGGCGAAAACGATGCGAGAATACGGATACCTTTTCCTCCTGTGATGGCCGCCCCCACACTCCGTCCAAAGGTCCACTCTGACGTGTCGCCGGGCAGACGCGTCCCGAGCTCGGCGCTGGCGTGAGCGCGCGCCCAGCAGGTAGCCGGCCGCCGCGCCAGCGGCTGCCCCGGCGGCCACAACGCCAGCCGTCTGCATTGGTCTAAGCTGCATCTTCAGGGGGCCTCGTATGTACCGTCCGGCCGCTGTCTGCGTCGAATCCGCGTCGAATCCGTGTGGGCCTCGACAAAATCTAGGTCGAATCGGCGTCGAACCCGCGTCGAGTCCGTGTCCGATCCGCGTCGAATCCGCACGGAGCCCGCGTCGGGCACAAGGAAACACATCAATTGAGGACAGACAAGGTCCCCCGAAGATGCAACGCAACATTGGCAAAGCCGACGATCTGTTTGTGAGAAATGAAGCTGCCTGGCGGCGCCCATGTGGGGCTGCGCGCGAAGGGGGCAGCCTTCTGAGAAGGCGGAGGAGCCTCTGAAAGAAGGCAGGGGTCCCCTTCGGGGATGGACAAAACCCCCTTTAGCAAAACGTGGTTTAGTGAAAACGACCTCGGGCCCAGACCTGGCGGGCGCAAGCCTGGAAAATGACGGCCGCGGCGCCGTCTCGAGAAGCGAAAACGGACAATTCACTAGTCGACGTGGCAGGGTGGGGGTTCTGTCCATCCCCCGACCCCTTGGAAAGGCCTGAATTGATAAGCCGTGCATCCGGTAGGACGCGTGGGCGGAAGAGCGCGCAATTGGCGACTCTTCAGAAGAACTGCAACAGAGAGCGAGAACGCTGAGCGCCCCACGACTGTGAAGCAGGCAGCGGAGCGCATCGCGACTGCGAAGCAGAAAATGGAACACAATACTGCTCCGAGGTACACGTAGAGGGAAAAGGGAAAAAACAAGGCGAGGGGAGGAAGACAATGACGGGGGAGGTGAGGCCTCAGATGTGCTGCGTCATCTCGTACACTTGGGAAGCCCACTGCTGTCTGGGCCGGCCGCGCCGCCGGTGTTCCACCCAGTTGCGTGGGGTACCGACCAGATTACATAAACATTGACGTACCAAGGACGAAGGTGCACTGGAAGCGACACGGATGTATAGTTTGCGTTGTTTGTCAAGTAGAAGCTGAGATAGCGGTTTGGCGCCCGCTTTTTCCAATACGCTCGAATTACTTATTCGCGAGAAGAAAGAATGCGGAATGCCCAGGATTCGGCGGAGGCAGCGGCAGTGGAAAGGCCTGGCGGCATCTAATCTGGGAGTCCCGGGCCCCGAGAAGGCACGCGCCTTCTGAGAAGCCCCGCGGGCCTTCTCAGAAGGCCGCCCCCTCGCGCCACCGCCTCTGGGGCGCCGCGAGTGCTTGTGGGAATTCGGGCTGCCCAGCGGGGATTGTCGGGTCGACAAGGCCTGGTCTCTGAGACGCTTGAGTTCACATGCGGGGTGAGCGCGACCTGACTCACCACGCACTGCGTCCACATGCCGAGGCGGATCGCGCGCAGGTCGCGTCGAAGGAGGAGGGCGGCCATGTGACGAGTGCCACGGCGGCCGAGCGCAGACAAGGCACCCTGAGATGCAGGCGTTGCATCTCCCCAACCCCCTGTGGTGTTGGGCCCTCGCTCTGAAGAGACAGCGCCCAGTGTCTCATTCCTTCTTCCCGTTGCCACCCTCCTCAATTCTCCCACCCCTGCCCCTGTCCTCCGCATAACAACCACTTCGGTACACCCCCTCACGAGGTTCGCGGCCCCACAGGGGGCTTCACCGAAGGCCCCAGTGGCAAAGTTCGCATGGCGGCACCGCGCCCATTCTGGCACACCCCTCACACGCTTCGTTGCCCACCGAAGGTGCCCCCCAATTGGCTCCAACCCCGTCCTCCTGCCAAGACGGCCCCGTGCCTGCCTGCAAAACGCATCCTGGCAAGTCGACGCCTGGAAACCCAGGGAAGTCCAATGCGCGGCCCTCAGGTCCCCGGGCCCAATTTCTCATCCCGGGTCGTGTTCTGACCGTCCCAGGACCTGGCGAAGGCCCCCGGAGGCCCAAAACAGCGAAGAACCTCCGCATTGAATGTTGCAATATAGTGGAGACGTATACGACTCGGGTTCGGGAGAGTCGGGTTGGCGTGACGGGGCCGATCACCGCCAAAACTCAGCACGGGGCCGCCGAGAAGCGTCGGCAATCCCCGGCTTCTGCGAGCTCGAGTCTTCCGTTCCCCTGACATTTTATGCTGGAGGTCTGGGCCCGTCCTCCTGCCCAGGTCGACCCCAGGAACAAGCGTGGCGAGGACGAGTGAAGGGGCCCTGGGACACACAAATAGGTACACACGAATAAAAAGATTCCCCACATTTTCCCATATGTTGTGGGTTTTTGTCTTCCCCCCCACTTCCCATAGTTTCCCATATTTTCTGCGGAATCGCCGACTAATTGTGTCTGTGTGTTTCGTTCCCTCCTGAACGAGGCGGAGCCGGGGCGGCGGGCGGGGCGCCGCCCTGCTGGTAGCGCTGCTTCTGCAGCGCGCGCAGGTCCTGCAGGGCCGCCGACTGCGACTGCGCCTTCGGGGCGGCGGCGGGGGGCACGAGGACAGCCGGAGGCCGCCCACGTGCAGGGCACGCGCTGACCTGCTTCGGGGAACCGTGGATCTGGTGGGCAAGCAGCCACATGTGAGTGACGAAAATAGGCGACGAGCCCAGGGGGGAAATGAGAAGGAGAAGGCCTTCTCAGAAGGCCGCGGGACTTCTTAGAAGTTCGGGGGGCTTCTGAGACGTTTCCTTGGCCTATTTCGAACACAGACAGAACTTCTCAGAAGCCCTCTAAGAAGTCCAGAAACTTCTCAGAAGCCTCGGAAGTCCCGCCCCTTCTCATTTCCCCCCCGCGCCCGCCGCCGAGAAAAGGAGGGTCTTACGCACGATGGCATGGCGACCCTACGCCGTGGCCTGCGCGGGCCGCCGGCGCGGCACACTATATGTTGGGAAGCCAGGACGCTCACGCGCAATCCCACGCGGGCAGCTTACGCGCGAAGGTCTGCGCAATCGAACCCGTTTTCTTCCGTCGCTCTTGTGAACCCTACCCCTGCAGGTGAGATTTCTGAAAATAATGGCTGGGGTTCAAAATTCGAGGGGTGTCTGTAGCGAAGCGAACTCCGGCGGGGGCGTCTGATACTCCAAGGCCGATTGGAACCGCAATGATATGGTTCGCAATGAGACGCAGATCTGGCGCGTGGGCGCGTGGCCACCCGTGTGTCGGGCACGCTGACGGCGTAGAGACAGACCCCCAGATCTCCGACGATGAGATTTTTCTAGTCTGGGCGAGTTTCCTCAACTTCGGCCCTGGGACCCGTTTTGGGCCCCAGGGCCATGAGAAAGGGATCTGGGGCGAGAAACTGCGCCCTGGGTCGGGACCTCTGGGGCCACGGATTGAAGAAAATCAGGTCGGCGGATGTCTGGGACTCTGGGATTGGGGAAACGGGAGAGAGAGGATGAAGAGGAGGACAGCCTCCTCCTCCTCCTCCTCCAACTGTCTTCGTCGTCCCGCTTTCCTCCACGGAACGTGCCGATTTCGTATGGAAGCGGGATCTGTCGCTAACCCTTGCACATCAATCCATGTTTGCGGTTCCTGGATGGTCGGAGCGGATGGGGTCGGAGCATCGCCGCACATCGCCGATGCATCGCCAACGTACCGCTGATGTACCTGCGACGTCGGGACGAAGAACATCCAGCCGTGTATCGCACCACATCGCCGATGCGGCGATATCCTCCGAGCAGATCTACGATGGCCCAATCTGGGTGACCTGGAGACCCTGAGATCCTGGCGTCGTGGAAACAACACAGCGACCAAATAGCTGTTGGTTTGGGCCTCGGCGGGCCTTTACAAGGCCCCACGACCGTCAAACGAAGAGGTCACACTGGGCGTTTTCGCCTGGTCTCGGGCACCACGGCTCTCACACATCGATCCGGCTTTGGAACGTGGCACAGAAAGATGGGTCTGGGGCTCTACGGATCTACGGCGTCCCACGATGTTGTATGTTTTTCGCGACACCAGATCTCAGGGACCACCTGGGCTCTCTTCGGGCGCATCGAAGCCTCGAAGGGCGAGGGGGATCTCCTACCCCAAGGCCGTATTGAGAGCCTCTCGAAGGACTGGCCACACGGCACTCAAACAGAACATCGGTGCGCCAACCTACTGGCAGCGGTGTGCGGATCATGCCCGAAGGAAGAAAACGCTTGTCTCACACGCCGGAAGAGGTTCCCGCTCTCCCCCTTCCCTTCTCTCCCCACCCTCCTGTTCCTCCTCATCCTCCTCCTTTGGCCTCCTCTATCCTCATCCCCCGGGAGTGCTGGCGGTCTGTTCGGCACCCATCGGGGATCTTGCAGCCGCGGCTGGTGCTATGGCTTAGTTAATCGAGCTGTCCCGAAGTTACGACCTGGTCAATCCAAGTCGTGGTAGACGCATGGGCGAACCGTCCTTAGGCGGTCTTGGAGCGTGCCATGAGAATACAAGGGTTTTCTGGATAGTTGTGTCGGGGCGGATTTCAGCGGCAAAGCTTCGTAGGCGAATTGTTGGAAGCCCACAAAAGACACTTGATTCAGGCATCTCGTGGTCTCGTTGGACATACTGGTCTTCCAGAGACGCCGTGGCGCCTCTGGGACGCCGCTGGGGGCCTCGCAGGCCAATGATGGGCCCATTTGGTCGGGCTTCGGGGCCGCATTGAAACTCCCTCCTTGCCGTCGCTCGGACGCCCATGTCCCGTGCATGTTTCGGTTTCGTGCGTGTTCTTTTCGCTCGATAGTCCAGGATGTTCCTCAAGGGTCCTCGCCGAGAAAACAAATACAAACGTCCGAGCGATGCCAGGCCCCAGGCTGGACCTGGGCCTGTCTTACCCACATATCCGCCGATCTGCTGTTTTCCATCCGCGGCCCCAGAAGCCCCGACCGCTTCCCTGGGGGTAGTTCTTCGCTCAGGACCCGCTCTGAAAGCCCCAGGGCCCGATAATTCACCCAGGGGCCGAAACGGAGGAAACTTGTTTGATCCGCGGGTCGAGAGCGAGCCTCTCCCGGTCGAAGCTAAGCGGGCCGCGCACAGCTTTAATTGACAGAGGGGGGAAGACAGAGGGAGGGGCCTCGTGTCAACGCCGAGAGAGGGAAGAGGAGGAACACACACCCCGATTGGAAAAGTCAGAGTCGGACATCTGGGAAACAGGGAGCGAACTCTCAAGGGCAGTCGCGGCGAGGTGGGGAGCCGCAGTTGGAAGAAACACAGGAGCACCACCTGGCAGTCCACCGGACAAACCCGCGCCTCCGCGTGCACACGGCACCGTGGCTCGCCCAGGGAGCGCGCGGGGAACAATCGGATATCGATCGCTGGGGCGGAAGCACAAACGCCACCTCAGCAAAACTGCCTCGTCGAATGGGCTGGGCGCGCAGCTCATAAAGCGCCCAACACGGCAGATGTCAGAAGTTGGCTTCGAGCTCACGCCATCGTTGTTCAGCAAGTACTTGGTTCACACTTTCTGGCTTGGCATCAATGCCCAGGCATTGCAGGTACCGGCAAGTGTACACGACGTAACACTACATTCTTGAACAACTGCTGCAATAAACATACGCCCGATGGCGCAGATGGTCCCCGCAGCACCGTTTGTGGTAGAGCGCATGTATCGATTCGCGGCCACAACGGGCGTTATAGGGGGGCATCAACGAAACGCCCCCCCACCACCGTGTGGTTCGTGCGCCACAGCGCCTGTGCGCATCGCAGCAAGCACCTCAATACCCAACACAGCATGTAGCGCCGAAGCCGCGTGCACCACATTGTTCATTTACTGCGCTGCGCAAACGTCCAGCACCAATGTTTTTACCCCACACCCTCCTTGGAGCATTATGTGCTGCTGTTTGCTGGACGACGAGGGCGACCGAGCGCTGGACGACGACGGCGACGACGACGACGACGACGATCGCAAATCGCAACGACGACGAAAACGTCGACGACGACGGGGACGGGGACTGGGTGGGGGGCGGGGACGTGGACGCCGACGACGAGGACGACGACGAGGACGAGGGCGAGGACGTCGGCGAGGACGAGGACGAGGACGACGACGACCTTTTTGTGGACATTTGTGGACGCCGGCGAGGCCCCAAGGGGGGGATTTCGCCGAGCGTCCGCGGACGGCGATCGACCGCGGACGCCCGCCCCCGCGCGCGCGCGCGGAAGCCGCCGCCCCGCCTCGCGGGCCGGCGCCGCAAACCCACCCTCGGATCACTCCCCAGGCAGTGCCGCCTCGCGGCCACGACTCGCGTCCAGCTCCCTGACAGCCTCGGCGGCCGCGGAAACCAACTCGAACAGCTGGTTGACCAGCTCGATCGCCGTGGCCATGCCCAGTTGCGACGCCATCGCGGCTCGGCCGCCGTCGCCTGCGCACTCCGCCCACGCGTGGCGGCCGAGGCGCCCCCCGAAACACTGCACGAACCCCACAAGACCGCAATTCGCAGCAGCCGTCGGGCGCCCTCATGCGCTCGCAGCGGCGCGGCCTGGACGTCCAAGTCCGAGCCTTGCGGGCAAGCGCGACCTCCTCATCGTCGTCGCTGCCCCCGCCGCTCGAGCCGACGCTCTCAGCGAAGACGTTTTTTTCCTCGACCTCCCCCCGCCGGTCGTTCACACTGGCGCTCTCCTCGGAACCAGTGCCCCCGTCGACGCTCTCCTCAACGATGCTCTCCTCAACGATGCTCTGGTCCTCGGACTCTTCCTGCTGGACGCTCCCGTCGGCGCTGTCCTCGAAACCCCCGTCGACGCTCCGTCGGCGCTCTCATCGAACTCCTCGTGGCCGACGCTCCCGTCGGCGTTGCCCGCTTCGCCCTGCCGGGCGGCGTGCAACGCCGCAGGCGACCGCTCGGCCAGCTGCCAGCACGAGGCCGTTCCGTGCACGAAGGCCTCCCCCAACCCCGCGGCGCACGCAAGCGCATGCCGCTCGCCAGGCGCCCAGCCAACACCCACCCCTGCGGATCGACCGCGCTCCCGAGGCCGTCCTCCCGACCGTGGGAGCCGCCCAGCACGGACCGCCTCTCCTGCTCCATCGTCTCCGCCGTGTCAGCGTCGACCGACAGCGCGCCTGGTAGCGCGCCCGCCCGCGTCGGCGACGTCGCCGAGCGCCCACATCCAGCAGGCCTGCCAGCGGCCCCTCCCCACAGCGACCTTCGGCTGCGCTTCGCACACCTCCACATCGATGACCCACACGCCCGGTTTCACGTCCTCGCTCCCGCGAGCATTGGCCGCGGCGGCCCCGAGTCTGGGCCCCTTGGCAGCCTCTCGCAAGGCGGCTGCTGGAGCCGGGCCCAGCCTGCGCGGCACCCGGGCCGCATGCAATCCGACGTTACGCCTTAGCCTCTGAAGAGCCGTCGAGTTCCTTCCCTCCAGCATGGCGACGAGCGCTGGCGCGCAGGCCGACACGCGGTCCGCGAGGCCCTCGCACTCCGCCACCGCGTCGAACACCCCCACAAGGGCGGCGTCCAGGTCCGCCCCCAACTCGCCGACCCTCAGGGTGAGCCGCTTCGCGAGCCCGTCCGCC